AGAAGCTTGGAAGAGAAAAGCTATTGGTATGATTCTTCTAATTCCCAGGTGTCCTTATGGAGAATAAAATTGACACTTTCACCCCAGGCCATCTGTTCAAAACTACAACAGTACATCTCAAGTAGGGTACATGACAGTCTCTTGGAGAGCTCACTCAAACTCAGACTTCTGGGCCTCAACTCAGAGTGTCTGACTCAGGGCCCAGGGGTGGCCCTTGATTATTTCTTACAGGCCCCCAGGGTTTGCTCAAGTTCCTGGTCTAAACACTTCCAACTGATGGCCCTGGTCTAGAAATTTCAGGGGCAGTGAAGGTGACATAAGGTCCTCCTTGGGTCCAGTCTTCACCTTCTTTCCCTACCTCTTTTCCCAGTGCCCTACAGAGAAACCTACTGTAGCTCCTACTTAGATCACACCTGCATATGTCCATGATAAATTGGGGCACGTGGGATCTTCCAGTCTCAAGGGCCTTCCACAGTTTCAGATTTTTTTCCCTGAAGACTGCAAGCCCTATCTCTGTACTTCAACCACTGTCTACATATCAGTTTTTAGAATCTCATCTTTTGGATTGTTGATTTCCATGTGAATTTTGGAACATGGTTTACTATTAGAATTCCACACTGCATTTTCATGATATTTTATCCAGGACTTTATGGACACAGGATGTTACTGATGACAATGGGATTCCTCTTTTTCCCTTTTATGAAAGGAAGCTACCAGTCTGGGACTAACTCCTTGAGTGTCGAGGAGGAGCCAAACATATGGGCCCTTTTGGGTTCCTAGGACTACTCTGAAAAATAATACTTACCGGGTGTCCTAAAAAATCAATTTATTGTACCACAGTTGTGGAGTCTAGGAGTCCAAACTGAATTATTATAAGGTATCTGCTCTGAAAGGTCTAGGGGAGGATTTTTCCTTGTCTCCTCTAGCTTTCAGTAGTTGTAGGAAATCCTTGGCATACCTTGACGTGTAGATTCATCTCTCCTTTTTCTGTCATGATTATCACATATTATTCTCTCCGCACAGGTATACGTGTCCAAATTTCCTCTTCTAAGGTCATGAATCATTAGATTATAGCCCACTCTAATTGACTATGGACTCATACAACATTTTTATGCACAAAAACCTCATTTGCAGATGAGATAATAAGCTGATATGCTGGGAAGGACATGACTATTCAACCCAGAGCATGTATTGAGCACTTAATGTGCCCTATTCCCTGTATTTCCCATGGCAGCACTGTGAGGTACACACAGGCATCACTCACACTGAATAAACCAGGATATGAAGCTCAGTAAAGCTGTGCTCCAGCCAGAAGCACTTGGAACACACAAGGTTGTAGTCACAGTGTAGCTGTAGCATTGGTCCACCTGTCCATTGAAAGAACCAAAGGCCAAATAATCTTTATGATATGTGGATACTAACAAATAATCAGGAGGGAGAAGGAAGTATACACCCCTGCACCTGTGTAGACATGGGACTGCTTCCCAGAAATAGTCCCAGAGGACTTCAGATCTTTTAGTAGCTGCCTCTTTGAGAATCTTAGAGCAGGAATTGATGCATAAAATAACAATGCTCAAATTTACTCATCAATTATTCCAAAAGTTACAATATTACTCTTCTAAATTTAGATTACTAGAATTTCATTGAACATCCTATGCAGGTTTATAGTATGGAATTAAAAAAAATGTGAGCATTTTGTGAGCTTGTTGAGCACTTATGGAAGTAAATACAATGCCTTGCTGTACCTTTTGATCACCAGCACCCTGCAGAGTTGCTACAGGGTGTAAGCACTCCATAATCAGTGTTTCTTCACAAACCATTATCTGTATAAAAGGGCTACTTTGAAAATAGAAAAGAATCATTTGTTGAAACATGAACCTATAGACATGATGTAAAAGGGAGTTTTTTAAAAAGGAATTTGGAGTCATCATCAGTGATAGAGAAGACTGGCAGACTCCAGGTGTTACCTGATCCAGGTCCAGGCTCCTCATTACTGGAAAACCAGTAGTCAGGAGATGTGAATTAGTGGGAAAGAAATCAGGTTTACTGAAGATCCAGCACACTGGTAGAGGGAGGGTGCTGTCATCCTCATAGTGTCCTCTTGGGAATCTCAGGGACACAAAGGATTTTTGTAGGGAGAGAAAGATGGGATTGTGAGGCAGTGGGAGAGGTCTCTTTAAGCAGAACTTTTGTCATTGAGGGTGTGTTTCCTTTTCTTTCTCTCTGAATGGACCATCACAATGGAGCTTGACTTTCTGGGGCTAGTACCTATACTTTTTTTGAATCAACTTATTTCTTTCTGCATGGTAAATGTCACAGAAATTTGCTTGTTTTGTGTTGGTATATAGCTAAAGACTAAGAATAGGCATGACACATTCTGATTTTATCTGAGAATCACCAGATGTTCTGGGTTTTGTAAATATAAAGGAACATTATACAGCAGTTCACATCTTAATCAGTTAGCCACAGCTTCTCTCCAAAATTTAGAAACTTGGGTGGAAGAGAGGGTGTAACTCTGTGGGGGTGCACAGGAGGAAAGCTGAAGTAACTACCTAGGACAGCTCCCAGTGGTGATGTCCTCCCCACCTTTTTCTTTTAGAGAGAGAGAGAGAGAGAGAGAGAGAGAGAGAGAGAGAGAGAGAGAGAATTTTTCATATTTATTTTTTAGTTCTCAGTAGACACAACATCTTTGTTTGTATGTGGCACTGAGGATCGAATCCGGGCCGCACACATGCCAGGCAAGCGTGCTACCGCTTGAGCCACATCCCCAGCCCCTCCCCACCTTTTTCATTGATATTTTTTAATGAATCCAGAGGCACTTTACCATACAACTGAACTTATATATTTTTAATTTTAAAAACATTTTTGTTCCAATCTCTCATTAAGTTGTTGAAACTTGCCTCAAAGTAGAGATATTCTGTCTCTGCCTACTGAATAGATGAGGTGACAAGTATACACCACTGCACCTGGATAAGGGTGGCAACTGTTACACAGAAGCAGCCCTTATTTTTTATTTTTAATATATTGTTATTAAAATGTTTAAACACTCACAAAAATATAAGTACATGGAATACCATCCCACCCTTTTCTGTTATCACACTGTTTAAAAACTTAGATCTAAAGTACTAAATATGGAAGGATAACTCTTGACCAGGCCAGCATATGATGAAATGTACAGTATGGATTAAAAAAAAAAAAAAACTTTTAATTTAAAGAAATGTACAAGCTTTTGAATTTTTCTGAAAATGAACCTTTTTTCATATGTACTTTATTATGGATAGAAGAGGAATGATGTAAATGACAAGAAGAGCTCACGGAAAAACAGGAGGTGAACTTTTAGCAGATTCTGGATGGGGAGCCAAGGTAAATACAAATGACATTTAATCTCAACTCAGTAAGAATTAAAAACTTTCTGCTTCATGTAAGCAGGGTTACATTCCCAAGAGGCTGGACTGTGGTACCTGGAGTCTTCTGTACCATCCTGGATGACATCACCTGCCAGCCCAACCCCATCCTGGAAGGGCATCCAGCAGCAGGTAAGGAAGGCTCTAGGGTGACCAGGGGGAGTGGGAGGTGTTTCATTCTTTGTCAAAAGAAGTTCCAGGGGACCAGCACAGTGTTGCTGAGGAAGGTTGGGGTGAGAAGGAAATGAGCAGAGGAAGTGGAGTCTGGGTGTTTTGGGGGGCAGCAGCTTTTCAGAGGTGATAGCATGCCAAGCTTGGGAACTGGGAGGGCTTCAGGGTGTGGGAAGCACACTTGGACTGGAATAAAGGAGAGATTTCTTACATAAATAAGTGTCCTGAAGCGGTGTCATTTGAAGTCAAGGTCCAGAACATGAGCTGCCAGTGGTTGTGTTTCCTCTGAAGAAGAACTTGCAGGTTTTTAGTGCAGGTCTGTACTTCACCTGATTAGTCTCAGGAGTGCTTATTTTCTTCTTCACTGATCGTTCATCCCAGTTCAACTGAATGGTAGTGGTCCACTCTTTTGTATGCTAAAGATGTCCACATCCATGCACAACTTAATGTTGCCAGAAACATTTTGTGTACTTCTTTCTTGACTTTTATTTGGTCTTTCCCAATAAGCAGAGTAGCTGTCCAATGTTCTTTATTAAAATGATCCTCCGTGTCCATACAGACATTTAGACCACTGTAGATCCTTTTTGAAGTGCGTGATGAGATGAGTTTGAGTCCAAATAGAATTCACACATGTGCAATTAAGTACTCAAAAGTATTTTGAGCCTGAGGGGGGACCATGACATTCTCAAGTAGGAAAGAAAAAGGATACTGCAGTATGATCCTTCAAGATATCTCTGAACAGAAAAGCATTATATGTTGAGAAAAAAATTAGCTATATATTGAGATTTGTGTGTATCTTTTCTAGGTAGAAGAATCTAGAATTGTTTTAATTTAGCCTTGATCTGTTAGTACTGTAATAATGATGAGGACATTGCCTTGCCTTTCCTTATCTTTCTTGCTTCCAGTTTCCTTCTGTATATAAACTTAAAAAAAAAAAAAGGCGACTGTGAGTGAAGTTCTTATTTTCTCTCTTCTTCTTTTGTAAATGATGTTTATATTTTGACCAGTAGAAACTTAGATGTATCAGAGTTGTACATATTCGTGGTAGTTAAATATCTTAACATGGTTATTCTAGCTCATTCTGTTTGTGCTCAGTTTTGATAAATGTATCCCTGTTGTCTGAATGCTTAGTAACACATTGTGGCTGGTATTAGAAGTGTATGGAAATAGCAGCACTGTTGCCTCTGATCCTTGGCCTGGTAGTTTTCAGGGCTTGCTTGCTGAGTAGGAGAAGTTTTACGAGCCTCAAGTCAGTGAACTTGTTTCTTGTGAAGAGTATTGCACTCTAAATTCCATTTCTGTGTATGACAGGTTGTGTTGATGGGATGGGACACCAAGTATAATGGGAAGAATGGTGCTCCAATGCTAAGGGAATGACTCCTAGAAACATCAGTTCTCACACTCAAACCAAGTGTGATCTTGCAGTTGCTGGAGAGAGAATCTGAGGCTGACCATGAATCAGTGGATTGGAGACACTTGGAGACCCTGCTTCAAGCTAGGAGGCACTGGTTTACAGTTGAGCAGAAACGCAGTGTGGGCTCTGGTTCAACATCCACTTGGCAGACTCCATCACCAGTGCTTAAGGATGGAAGAGAGCTCCCCGATCTGGATTCTGCTTGACTCCAGGGGAATGACACAAATTGGAGGTTAGTTGTGGCCTACATGATGGGGAAGTGTACTCCTGAATATCGCTACTGGGAGGACCACCTGCCTTCTTCATGCACCACAGGGCTTTGGATGCCTGGAAGCCCTGGGATGTGTGTCTAGGTATTAGGGAGCAGCAGGAAAGTGGGAGGCAGTGGGAGCTTCCAGAAAGGGGAATTGGTAAAATGCAGGGTCCTGTCAGGACAGGGTTCTTGTGGGGATTAGGCTGGGAGTGCTGGGAGGGGAAGCAGTGGGAGGCAGTGCAGGGGCTACTGGCTGAGGAGTAGCAGTTTGAGTCTGGACATTGGCTGATTGATCTTTGAAGAGGTTATAGAATGCCAAGCCTGGGGACACACACCAGTAGGGATGTGTGTCCTCAAGGATGTAGGGCCTGTACCTGGAGGTGAGGTAGGGTTATTACATAGAGGAGGAAGTGTTTATTGTGACTGATTGTGGGCATTGGTTAGAGAGAAACTTCCTTTTGTTATTAAGCATATTGAAATAGCAAATATGAAATCCGGGTTCTGAAAATCATTTAGCACTTTTTTCCTCAATGAGGAGTCTCCTGCAAACTTGTGACTTTTTCACCGTAGTCAATAGGTCATAGCTGGTTGGTAGGGTTTCATTGTTTTGTATACCAGTGACTCCTATAATTTAAAACAAGCTTACCTTGCCCAAAGCTCTTTTTGTATCTCTTCTGGTACTTTGAATTTTATTTTACCTTTGCCAATAAACAGTATCTTTCCACTGACATTTGTCATCAAGTTGTGCAGGCTGAGTACTCAGTAACTTTGCTGTCTGTCCCATTCAATGTTTTAAGCTCATCCATCTTAAAAACTACCTTGCCACTGAAAAGCTGAATATCCAGGTGTCCTGGTGTAAATGCCAGTGTGTTGCACTTTGTACCCTCAACCCCCGACAACCACAGCATGCCAAGATGGAGGATCCTATCTTGGTTAGACCTACAGCTTCAGGAGCAAAGCCTCTTCCCTTTTTGTGCTTGAAGGGAAGAAGGAACTCTCAATGCTGGCTGCTGGCTTGGATCAGGGAGGCCCAGCAATTGAGAAGCAATTGTGTCTGGATCTTCTAAGAGACCCTGCAGTGTAGGACCCGCCCTCAAATATCACAGTTTGCTTCTCTAGGAGCTCAGGTGTATGCCTGAAGCAAGTGAGATTGATCAGCAATGTGAAGTGGACCTTCTCAAAATCACAAGTAGAAAGAGAAAAAGGAAAGACCAATATCTAAGATCAATGTTGTTAAGAAACAGATGCCTAGGGGCTGGGGTTGTGGCTCAGCGGTAGAGCACTCGGCTTGCACATGTGAGACCCTGGGTTTGATCCTCAGCACCACATAAAAATAAATAAGTGAAATAAAGGTATTGTGCACAACTACAAGTAAAAAATATTTTTTTTCATAAAAGAAAGAAACAGATGCTTAGTGCTAGTCTGACTTACTCATATATTGAGGTTTGGGGTTGAGAGAACAGGAAGTTGTTCTGACCAAGGAAGTAGAAGCTGTGAATGGATGGGGTCTTCAGATTTTTGAAAAAGTAGAATTGCCTGGTGATTTGTCTTGGCTAACACCATGCACCCCATTTTCCAAGAACAGGCCTTATGATGATGACCCTGGTAGGTGATCACTGTGTGTGTGAGTATTGCATATCGTGACATCAACTCTGCTGCTGGTGACATCAGCATTCTGCTCATGGGCCATTATCAATGTGTGCCTCTTTGGTAGCTCTGTTTGGAAATGTGGAAGTTCCTGCAGTACTGTTTGCTAGTCAAGACATGATGTTGTTGGTCCTGGTGCATCAGTAGCTGATCAGAGCAGACTGTGTACTTGCATCTGTATTGGAGAACCAGCCTTTGAACATGGACTTGAGGATATTTAAGGAAGGAAGCTGTGACATACAGCAGAATTTGAGCAAAAACAAAGATGGCAAAATGGTTATTGATATTGTACTTGGGATAGATATTTCAAAATCCAATAATCTAATAGATGTGAAAACCATGACTGATGTGAAGAAAGTGAGGAGTTCTGGGATTTTTCTGAGAGAGTGCCAGTAGCCCTCCACTCACTCACTGCACTCTGTACTGCCTTCTGGTGAATTATGAATGAACTCTCTCCATAGCCTCAGTTGATACATGTGCAATGTTTCTTTCCTCTGGCACTTAAATCATCTGATGCTTTTTATTTATTTATTTATTTTTTCATCTGATGTTTTTTAGGACATAAATATTGTTTTTAATTTATTCCTCATTGAGAGAGAATTCTCAGAAACTTCAGGGCATTTTTATATATTCCAAAGTACATTTCATCCTATAGCTACTGCTTTACCCTCTTACATCTTTGTAACCAGTCAGGTGGCTCATCACTGTGTGATCTTCTTTCTACTTTTTTGTGATCCCTGTTTGTTCTTCATTTTTCTCTCTAGCTTTTTCATAGGGTATAAAACATTCAACCCTTTGCATTCTGTGTCTGATTATGTCACTGATCATGTCATTCCTTTTTCCGTTCATAACTTTGCTGGACATAGCAGTCTTGGTTGGTAAGTATATACTTTCAAAGCTTGGAATGCTTTATTCCAAACCCCCTTGATTTTAGAGTCTGAAGTGACAAGTTTGAAGTGAAGCTTATAAACGTAAATTAAATTTATACAAATATAGTTTTATATAAATGTGACCTAATGTTTTTCTTGTGTATGTTTTACTATTTTTCTTTATTTCCATTGTTAGGTCCTTTGATTATAATATGTCTTTCAGAGCTGCTTTTTATCTTAATATTTTTTCTTTGGGATTCTGTATGTATAGTGTATGTATATGTCTATCTTATTTTTAATGTTTGAATTTTCTTTTAGTGTTATTTTATTCAAAAGGTTAACACCATTAGCCTGAATCTCTATGTTCTTCTCCACCTTTGTCCAAGATTTTCTATTTGACCTTGAGCCCAAAGCAGTGGTGTTTGCCAACCATGTACTGAAAGTTTTAAAAATGTAAGCAAAAATAAACTTTCCTTCTTAAAATTGTTGTATGGTATATTAGTCATATTAATAGATAATTATTAACAGGGAAGGAGATACTTTTTAATCAAAATTTTGAGCTTTTTTTTCAGTTTATTCATTTCCAGGTTTTAAGGCAATTTTGAAGTGGAACTTAATGTATCTCAATTTTATATATTAAGATTTACATTTTCATTTATACCGGTTTTGCTTCAGTGTTGAGTTTCTCTTCAAAGTCAAATTAGAAAAAATTGATTGAGACTATAAATTTGATCCATTAGATTCTCCAGGAAATATTCTTATTAATATGCATAAGCTTATCTCAAATGATTTGGAAAGTTCTTCAGGCTGGGCCACTTGATTTGAAAAGAAGGAAAATTTAAATTAAAAGTTTCAAGTTATAAATACATTTTGGAACCAATTCATATCCTTCTCAGCTATATTGGTGTTTATATATTGTGACTTGTTAACCACCTGTGGGAAATTTCACTGAGCTGTTCCAATTATTATCTTGCAACTGTTGTTTTAGTATTAAGTGATATTTTTCTCAAGACAAATCATAAGTATGTTTTCCACTGATATTTTGTAGCCATATTCACTACACAGTTTTTAAATAACAGATACTTTTACCTCTAAATCTACTTTCTGACAGGGTACAGTAAGCAAGTATTTTGTGGATTTGTATGGAAAATTAAATAACTGTACCCAATGGAAATATAAACATTTGACCTTGTATCTGAATCAAAAACATCAAGGTATGTTTCTATTGTAGATGTAATAAAATAAGATTTTGAATCACTCCTTCTTCATACTTATAAACCATTCTTTTAAAAACGATTGTAGTAGAGTGACATGAATTTAATGAAATTCTTAAAACTATATGAGCATCTCAATTACAGTTGAATGGCATTCCCTTGTCCCTCATTAATACTTGACCATATGACACAGAATGAGAATTCAGTAATGAACCTTCCTATGGTTGGAATAATGATTGATATTAGTGTAGAAACAGGATCTGTCCTTGAACCATAAATGCTCTTCAGCAGGGAGTAAATGCTCATATAATTAAATACCTATAACTATAAGCTATCATAACTTCTATATTATGATATGTAAGTAAGTCATTTTATGTTGCCTTTATAAGGCATATGGGTACGGTTACTTTTATAGTTTTCTATTTTTTGATTCTTATTCCTTTGTTATTCATTAAGTTTTTCCTTGGAACCTATTTTTGCATTCAGCATTATTTTGGATGCTGGAAAATATATAATAGCATTTTTATTTGGTATTTAATATTTTTTACTTTTAATATTGGACAGGTTGTCTATCTCTTTTTGTTTTAGAACATGAATATATCTGTAGGGATATCACATTGGGGTTAAAATAAATAAAGGACCCAAGCAAAAAGAACTTAAGTTAGAAAACCACAAGCCATTATATAAAGAGCATAAATCATGCTGTCTTTAGTTAAGTGCGTCCACATTTAGAAGGTCAGGGGCTCACCCTGCTTATGAATAGGTTGAGTTCTTTTGTGAGTCTTGAGTGTCGTAATCTATCTATCTTTCTTTCTTTCTTTCTTTCTATATATATATATATATATATATATATATATGTATGTCTATGATTAGTACTGTAATATATATATGCAGAAATACTTATACATACATGTTTATGTATGGAATAGGGCTTCCAAGAGACAGAGTATCATAAAATGATTATAGATATTTGTAGATTTTTAAGCTGAAACATAGTCAGTTCCCACTAACTATTATTTTTTTCAACATTTTAAAAATTTGTGCATTATAATTGTATATAACAAGGATTTGTGTTATATATTTATACATGCACAAAATTTAACAATATAATTTGGCCAATATTGCTTCCCAGCACTTCTTCCCTCCCTGCGTACCTCTAAACCCTTGGTCTTTTTCTTTAATTATCTCCCTTTGATTTTCCTGAGATCATCCCCCACACCTTTCTATTTCTTTTTCCATTCTAGTTTGCACATATCAGAGAAAGCATATGATCCTTGATCTTCTAAGTTTGACTTATTTTGTTTAATATTATGGTCTCCACCCATTTTCCTGCAGATGACATAATTTCATTTATTTTATGGCTGAATAAAGTTTCATATTATCTCACTTTTTTTGAATTCCTAGCATTAGGCACACAGGAAAGCTAGTGTTAGTTCATCATATTGATGATAGTAATAGCACAGCCCTCCTTTCTTGTTCGCCTCCAATTTTGGTGTTCCTCATGTGTGCTTGCCATGATCCTTGTGGGTGATCTTTCATCCTTGTGGTGGAATAGTATAACTTGCTGTAAGGATGAAGGATACTAAGCCAGAGAAGGAAACAGATGGCTGTGGAGGGAACTCCATTAGTTTGACTCCATGTCCATCATCTGTTTTCCTTGAGAAGCATGGGTGCCAATTTTAAGCCAGAAAATATCTGCAGTATGAGGATTGCCTTCATCTTATAAAATTTTATTCTTCCTGTCTGTATCACAGTATTTTTCACACGTGAACTATAATTCTGTATGTAGTATAATTTTGATAATTATTTGACTTTCTCATTTTTTTTCTGGTTGGGGATATGTTAGTATTGTAATAAGGTTTTTCATTAATGAAATAGGTGGATTTGATCAGGTGATTTCTAATTCTGCTTTCATCTTTGATACACCTTTTAATCTTTTACAGTTCTTTGATATGTGTTTTTTTCCTGAGCACCTAAAAACATTTTTTATTCATTCTATTTAGTTGTACATGGCAGTGGAATGCTCTTTGACACATCATACATAAATGGAGTATAACTTCTCATTCTTCTGGTTGTACATGACGTAGACTCACACTGGTCATGTAGTCATATAGGCACATAGGGTAATTATGTCAGATCCATTCTGCTATTCTTACTACCTCCATTTTTCTTCCCCTCCCTTCACTCCCCTCTGCCTTATCCACAGTACCTCTGTTCTTCCCTAGGAACCCCAACCCTTATTTTCAATTAGCATCTTAAATTCAGTGAAAACATTCAGCCTTCGGTTTTTGGTATTAGTTAATTTTGTTAAGCATGGTATTCTCCAGCTCCATTCATTTACCACCAAATTCCATAATTTCATTCTTATTTAAGGCTGAGCAATATCTGGTTCTGTATGTATTCCACATTTTCTTTATTCATTCATCTGTTGAAAATCACTTAGATAGGTTTCATAGTTTAGCTATAACATTTGATGTGGCTGCATCACTCTAGTTTTCTGACTTTAAATCCTTTGGGTATGAACTGAGAAGTGGGATAACTGGGTCAATTCCAAGTTTTCTGAGGAATCTCCATGCTGCCTTCCATAATGATAAATTGAAAATTTGCCTTCCCACGAGCAAAGTATGAGTGAACCTTTTTTCCTACATCCCCCCAAAACATTTATTTTTGCTTGAATTCTTGATAATTGCCATTCTGACTGAAGTGAGATGAGAAATCTCAATGTAGATTTGACTTGCATTTTTATAATTACTAGAGATGAACATTTTTCATATATTTGTTGATTGTATTTTTTTTCTTCTGTGCAGTGTCTGTTCAGATCCTTAGTCCATTTATTGATTGGGTGGTTGTTATTGTTGTTGTTGTTATTATTATTATTATTATTATTATTATTATTAGTAGTAGTAGTAGTAGTAGTAGTAGTAGTATAAAGTTTTTGAGTTCTTCATATATCCTGGAGATTAATGCTGTAACTAAGGTGCAGGTGGTAAAGGTTTTCTCCTGTTCAGTAGGCTTTCTCTTCATATTATTGTTTCTTGTGCTGAGAAGAAGTTTAAAGGGTGGTTCTTTTATTCCATCCTATTTATTGATTCTCAATTTTACTTCTTGTGCTTTATGGGTGTTGTTAAGAAAATAAGTTCCTAAGCTTACATTCCTACTTTTTCTTCAGTTAGTTGCAGGGTCTCTATGTTCTAATGCCTAAGTCCTTGATCCACTTAGAATTTTGTGCAGGGTGAGAAGTAGGGGTTTAATTTCATTTTGCTACATGTGTATTTCAAGTTTTCCCAGCACCATTTGTTGAAGATGCTATCTTTTCTCAAGTGTTTGTTTTTGGTGCTGTTTGATAATATTAGATAACTGTACTTATGTGGGTTTTTCTCTGTGTCTTCTCTTCTTTACCATGGTTCTAATACCGATTGTGATGCCTCCTCCATCACTTTTCTTGCTAATGACTGCTTTACCTATTCTGATTCTCTAATATTTCCAAATGAGTTTTATGGGTGATTTCTCTATTTCTACAAAGGAACTCATTGGTATTTTTATAGGAATTGCATTGAATCTGTATAGTACTTTGGGTAGTATGGTTAATTTGACAATATTAATTCTGCCTAAGATAGACAGAATTAGGGCATGGGAGATCTGTCCATCTTCAAAGGTCTTTAATTTCTTTCTTCAGTATTCTGTAGTTTTCATTGTAGAACTATTTCATACCTTTTCTTATATATTTTCCAAAGTATTCTATTGTTTTCTGAGGCTATTGTGAATGGGATATTTTTCTGATTTCTCTTTCAGTTCATTTGCCATTGATATATAGGTACATAAATTATTTATGGGTGTTAATAACCCAATGAATTTTGATGTATTGTATCCCTGTTCCCATTTATTTTTGAAAGATGCAGGGTTCCTCTGTGGCTGTTGGTTTCCTCAGTGGCAAAAACTTCTGCAGTCTGTTTGGAGCAAGCACCTGAGGTATGTAATGGCAAACCCTGAGGGAACGCCAGAAATGAAGGCTAGAGTTGTTTACAGAAGGAGACAGTGCAGAGGTTGTGGGGGTTCTGGGCAGAGTAGCCACTGGGGACGATGATTTCTTCTGCTGCAAGTTGATCCATGTGTTGCACCACTTCTTCTCTGTTTCAGGTCATCTCCAAATAGCTCATCTGTTCTTCTCTGCTCAGTAATCTGGGTTGGGAGAAACGGAATCAGGACATTTTGGTACTACACTGGAAAGCCTAGGGTGATGGTTGTCACACTATTCTCCTTTTGCTTTTGAGTGGAACTGGTGGGCTGCTTACTCCCTCTTTGTGTTGAGCAGAGCTATGTCAGGGACTGGATGACGCAGAAGAGTGACACTAAAATTGCTTTTGGTGCAGTTATTCTGTTGCTTTCTTCTAATCTATTGCTTTAAATTAAATGCATTCCTGAATTTTTCCAGATTTTTTTAATGGACATCTTAAGTCAGGGATCTCTTTTTCTGCCATTTACTGAATAAAGTAATAGGAAGAGTGCAGTATTTGTTTCCTGCTGTGGACATAGGCAGCTGTGCAATGGCAGAGAGGATGAGTCCTGCCCACCCAGGTCTGGGTGTGGGGGGTTCTAACCTGCCCGCCATTGAGGCGCACCTGATTCTGGTGGGTCATCTCACTCACTGTATGGGTCTTGGGGGGTCTCAGGGGAGTCCCACCCTGTTCTTGATGGGGTCTGTATAGAATACACAGGTGATGATCACAGTACAGGGGGTGGACCATCCAGGAGCCAATCACCTAGGGCCATGCAGATTGTGGAATGTGCACTTGTGTTTATCATTGTCACCTGGCAACGACTATTTCGCCAGTTGGTTGGAAGAGCTGCTTAGCTAGGCCACATGACAGAGGTTGTTACCTAATTGTGTTTAGGATGGATAGAGCCTGGAGACAGTTTGTTTATATAAGCCTGGGAATCAAGTTTTTCAGATACAACCCTCTTGGGAAGATCCACCAGGCTGCCAAAAATTGTGAACTGGGAAGAATTAAATGTTATCTGGGACGTGGATGTCATGTTGATAGCACCGATCATAAAAATAGGTAATAGGGTCTGGGAAGCCAGGGACTGAGGGGTAAGGGACCAATGGGCTGATGGAATTGAAGCCTGCACCATCCAGGCTGTGCCAACAGGAGCAGAGCAGAAAGGATACCAGTTCTCCTTTCACCGGAATATTTGACTTTAATATCCTGTGGAGTCCTCAATATCCAGGACCTGCACACCTTGGAAGTTCAGTACCCAGGACTTCTAATGGGCAGCTAAACAAAACCAAATTTTTAACTGGTTTCCCAGACACTTAAAATTTCCCTATAAGGTCACTGATTTTTAAAAAATAAATAAATAAATACACACAACAGCTTTTAATGTACACCTTTTCAAAAGCATTGAAAAATTTTCAGATGTAATCTATTACCTGTTGTGTCCTGAGAGCCTCACAAGAACTCTGAATTGGGAAGATGGCTCCCTGTTCTTTCTTTGTTTTTATATTTTTAAAATTCCTTCACACTAGTATATTTAGGGGTGTGTCTTCCACCTCTAAAAATAAGATTTTACTTATTTCTCACATGCTTCACTCACTAATTTATCAAATTCTTAGGATAACTCGGTGTCATCTTGATCATCAAACCATTTTCATAACAACAGTGTTGGCAAGCCCTGCATTTTCTGCAAATACTTCATTAACTTCAGTTAGTGAAGTTAACTACTTTTAACTACCTTTCCACAGAGGACACTAGAGTTCACTGGCAGCTTTCACACTTTCCAAAACAACAAACACAGCATGCTTTTTCAATTTTGTTATCACTTTAGACTAAAGTAAAAAAGCATCTGCCAAAAGCTTCTCGCACAAAATTCCAAAATTGCTGATTCCACTGTTCCAGTACCCTTTCCTGTAGTTATCCATTACTGTGTATCTGTTCAAGCATGGAGAGTAGAGCATTGGTTGAGAGCATCTAGGCAGTGCAGGCTCTCAGTCACCAGGGCCAAGGGAGTAGCACACAAAGGGTGCCTAGTCTGTACAGACCTGCCTGCTGCTGCCCTAATGTAGCTTGCCCTACTCTGTTCTGAAGGGACTAAGAGTATCAAAAGTAGGCCCTGCTTGTGGTTTGTGCATTAGAATACCCATTGACCCCAAATGTGAGCTCTCTCTGTGGTTATCAATTTCACAAAAAAACAAATTAAAAATATCAGTACATTTTTTAGTTCCACACGCAGTCATTTAGGGTCATGATGACACTAAGAAAATGTTTGCAGTGAACAAAGACTTGCCATTCTGTGTATCAAAATACATTATTAACTTTCACAAATTACTTGTTTGCCAGTGGCCAAAAGATAAGTGACTGGAACAGGATAAAAAGAATACTCAAATATCTGGAAGAAGAGTAAAATGGAATTGGTAGGTAGTGGCATGCACAGTTTTAAATGTGGCACAGAAGTTATCATTAAATCATCTATTTGAGGAGCAATAAACAGCTCAAGCCATAATCAACAGCCCAATACCACTACTCTTCATCTTCAAAATATTGTAGCTGAGAAATTTATTTCATTTGTTAGACTTAAATTCCTTCTATTGCCAAGGACAAAAATATTTTTTCTGTGTTCATATGTCACTGTCACTTGAGCATCTGTAAAATTAGAGTATTTTATCTGATTTAAATTAGAATTCCAAGGTTGGAAATGTAGCTGAGTGTTAGAGCACTTTTTGCATGGCAAAGGAAAGGGTAAGGGTGCAATCCCCAGCAAAACAATAACATTGTCAGCATCATCAACATAATAAATTTTAACAAGAGAGGTAGGAAAAAAAGAAGTCGTCTTTCAAATTCATTATTTCTTAGAACACCTTTGCCAACATGAAGAAAGCATTTATGTTTTCTTCTAGTACATTTATATATAGACGTCCTATAGTGCATTTCATCTTTTGTAGATATTACTACACATACATTTCTCATATATGTATATTTTATTTTAAATATGCAATTATAGGTTAATAATTTTGTTTTGGTGAGAATAGAAGAGAGCAAGTATAAAAGATTATTACTACTGAAAAAGTATTGCTTTACTTTATAAAAGTTTCACATAAAAATACTAAACTTCTCAAATTTAGTATTTTTAAGTGAAACTTTTATAAAGTAAAGCATTAAAGAATTATTCTTTAATTCTATTCATTTGCACTCATAAAATGAATATGTTTTTAATGCACAAGAACTGCAAAGCTACTTATTTTGTATTTGACATATTCTACTATCTCAGAGAACTCTTACATAAAAACTTTCTAGGTGTGACCAGTTAATTAAAACTGAAGTGATAGGACTCAATTTCAAATGAAACAGTTCTTCCTCCTTTTCAATCATGCATTCATGGAGTTAAGAAATTGTAAACGTCCCTTGTGAAAAATTAAGACAGTATTAAATACTGAACATTGAAAATACCTGATTCATATATAAATCCCATATATATAAATACTGAATTAATTTAACCATACTAATTCATTTGGGTTCTTTTTCTTTTGGCATTAAGTTTGCTTTCGGTTTGGCCTTTTACTGTTATTATTCAGCATACTTTACCTATCATACTTTTAAAACTGAATTTAAATGCCATCCATGTCATGAGAACTGCCATAAATCTATTGTTTGTCTCACATTTCACTTAAGGTAAGGCACCATGAATTATGATGGTTCTTTATTTTGTTTATGAAGAAAAAATTAAATGCTGCCAATTATAGTTGTAATGCAGCCCGAATTATTAGTGGGATTGCATTGTCAGTGTTGTTAAAATGATAAGAAAAAAAATCATACTCATTGAAATACATAGTTTTTAAAATATATTTTTAAAAATCACTACAATACTACTAACTTATCAATTGAAATACTCTTAGTTGATAAAAAGCAATAATATTGATTACAGTAGCTACCAATTATGGATCTGTTGCTTGTGCTACAAACTCTTCAGATGTTTTACATAGATTCTCCATTAAGCATCCTGGTAGTATCCAGGGAGATACTCATTTTAATCTTTCCTTTTTTAGGAAATTGAGGGAGAGTAAGACTGTGGGATAACTAGTACATCACAGAGCCTAAAGTAGAATTCAAACTGAAGATGAGCTAAATCTCAAGGCCATCTTCTTTCTAGGCAAGTGGGCTGCTCTGCTCTGGGGATGTGGTTCTGTGGTAGAGCCCTTCCTTACCTAGAATGCTTCAGGCCTGGGTTCCATCCCCAGCAATATGAAAACAAAGCAAACACAAATAAGTAAAATCAATGGAACCAGGCACAGTCGCACATACCCATGATTCCAGTGACTTAAGATGCTGAGGCAAGAGCATTGGAAGTTTAAGACCACATGGGCAACTTATTGAGACCCTGCATCAAAATTGTTTATATAATAAAAATGTGCTTAGGATATGACTCTGTAGTTGAGTAACCCAGGGTGCAATCCCCAGCAGTATCAGAAACAAGAAATAAGAAGAAAATGTCAGTGGCATAGGCTGATCATTTCTTAATAAGATAAGTAATGACAGCTACTAAATATTGTACCCTCTTCATAAAAAGTAGAGGAATTATGAGCTATTTAATGTTTATAATTGCATAAATAGTTGTATATTTCAAAAGGTAACTTATGAATTCCTAATAAAGCTTCTTACTTGCACAGAACCCCTCTACATTATGCCTGTGCCTATGGCAATCCAGCAGTGGTGGCTCTTCTAGTGAAGAGGAAATGCAGTATCGACTTGTGTGACAGTGATGGCAACACACCATTGATGAAGGTAGATATAGCCAGTGGTTTTGCAGGAAATGAATTTGATGAAATGCTTAGAAGAAAAATTGGTTAATGTCATTTAGTTATAACTAATGAGTAAAATGTGAAATATTTTTCTTGGATTTGCAAAATTTACAATCTATTTCTTGGTTAAAACCGACAGGCCCTACAATATGAGGAAGAGGAATGTGCAATTATTCTTCTAGAACATGGTGCCAATCCAAATGTTCACAACAACAAGGGTGAAACTCCGCTCCACTATGTTATCTTGTATAGGAACACATTAATAGCAACAAAACTGCTTTCATCCAATGCAGATATTGAAGCCAAAAACATGGTATATACATCAATCAGCATTATTTTCAAAATATTTAAAATGTTTCTTAAAATTAACAGTAATGCATGTTAAAAAATACTGATTATAAGCAAATTTTCTTTTTATTAAAATACTAGCAAATGTTGGAAGTTCTCCTCATATTCTTCCTTCTTCTTTTGTAGCTCATGTGTGTATTTAGTTTGCCTCAATCAGTTGATGCAGAAATCTGAACTTCAAGCTTCTGTGAAGGAACCTGATGCAGTCCCCTTGAGCCGTAGTACTGTGTGGTGTGGTGTGCATGGTTTGCCTCCCACATGCTGGGCACACATGTTCTTCAGTTTGCTACTGGCAACTGCAGCACTTACTCCAATCACCTACTTTTCCTCTATAAATGAAGTTACAACTCCTCTTTTTTAATATAGTGTGATAAAGATTTCATGGTGGTTTCTACTGATATACAAGAATATGGACTACATAATATATTATGAATCTCTTTCAAATGGGATTAAATTTTTGAATTTAGAATTTGGCAGTTAAATAGTTTTCTCTATATATACTATAAAAATCATGTTCCCACTGGAATTTTTGAAAGGCTGATTAGGTCACTCATTGCTAGAATGGGTAAATTATTGCTAGAAGTAGATAACTCATGGATTTCGCCAGCTGTATTATGTATCAGTCTTCAGCTTTGTTCCTTAAAAATGCAAATGTTTAGTATCTTTCATGATGCTACAAGTAATCTGTGTAGATCAGCATAAATCTTGTTGATACACAAAATTTCTGAATTAAATTTTGCCTAAAATTATAAGTAACTTTAAGTAGCAATTAAAGTGGATGAGAGTAAAAAGAATTTTGGAAAATAAGCAAGCATTATGTTACCAGGATTGTCATTACAAGTGAGAATACATTTTCAATGTTATTTTTATTAAGAGTTTATAGTTTTACATAGTAGTTGAATTCATTCCCCCAAAATCTTACATGCTTGGAATTCCAGTTGAGTCCTTGATTCCCTTTTTTCCATCTGTCTAGCCCTCCTCCTCTATTCTCCCCCTCCTATTCTCCTGGACCTCCTTTCACCTATTTATTTAATTTGGTTGATTCTTTTTACTTATACATAAGGGTGCAATTCCCTGTGGTATATTTATGTATGCATATAACATGAATTTTAAAGATTTCCTTCTTCATTGCCTTCCCTTTTTCATTCTCTCTGTGCTTCTCAATCTTCTTTTTCTACACTAATGATCTTCTTTACATCTTTTGATATTCTGTTCTTAATTTCTTTTTCTTTAATTAACTCCAGCTTCCACATATGAAACTTTTGACCTTTGAGTTTCTTATTTGACTTATTTCACTTAGCATGATATTCTTGGATACCAACTCATTTACCAACAAATGACATAATGTATTTTTATGGCTGAGTAATACTCCGTTGTATGTATGTATGCACCACAATTTCTTAATCCTTTCATCCATTCACAGGTACTTAGGTTAATTTCTTAATTTACCTGTTGTGAATTGTGCTACTGTAAACACACATGTGACTGTATTAATATACAGTTACACGTAAAATTTTGTTTTACTAATTTTGGGAAAATACTGAGGCATGGGATAGCTGTTTCATGTTGTGGTTCCCTTCTTAGATTTTGGGGAACCTCCAAACTGTTTTCCAGGGTGGTTGTACTAGTATGTAGTCCCACCAACAGTGTAAACGTGTGCCTTACCCCCACATTCTTTTTTTTTTTTTTTAACCAGGGGGAGGGAGGGGGAAAGAGAGAGAGAGAGAGAATGAATTTTAATATTTATTATTATTATTTTTTTAGCTTTCAGCGGACACAACATCTTTGTATGTGGTCCTGATGATTGAACCCGGGCCACACGCATGCCTGGTGAGCGAGCTACTGCTTGAGCCACATCCCCAGCCCCACATTCTTACCAGTATATATTACTGTCTGTGTTCTTGATAATTACCATTGTGGCTGGAGTAAGATAGAGTCTTAGTGTAGTTTTTATTTGCATTAACATAATTGCTAGAGATGTAGAAGACTTTTTCATATATAGTTTGGACATTTGTGTTTCTTTTGAGAAATTTCTGTTTAGTTCTTTTGCTGAGTTATTGACTGGGTGGTTTTTTTGTTTGGAGTTTTTAAAAATATTTATATTTTAATTGTTATTGGACACAATACATTGATTTTATTTATTTTATGTGCTGCTGAGGATCAAACCCAGCGCCTCACATGTGCTAGGTGAGTGCTCTACCTCTGAACCATAATCCCAGCTCTGTGTTGGTTTTTTTTTTTTTTTTTTTTTTTTTGAGTTGGTTATTTCTCTTTGTTAATCCCCTCTCAGTGGATTAGTTGGCAAAATTTTCTCCAGTTGCATAAAAATAATATATTTTTGTATTGAAATTTCTGACATGTAAGATAAATATCTTTCATCTTATATGAGAAGACACAGGAACAATTATGAAACAGCAAGATAGTTTACTCAGACTCTATCAATTTTAAGCAGAAATTCCTTACATTGGAATCTGGGATTCTGATTTTATAAATAAAAAAGAATCAAGTGGACTTGTATAACATGGAGAAAAGTTCCATGTTGCTGGAAAGCTCCCAGAAATATATTCCTGTAACTTCAATTGTTCACATGTGAATATCTACAATGAAAAATCGGTGTCAAGTAGGTGTTAAGCAATGGTAAGGCTATTTCTGTACTACTGGACATAAAATGCACAGTTGTGTAAATTTTCTCTAACAGTAAAGCAAGGAATCTTTTCTATGCAGCTTGGTATTTCAGGAAAAGTAGACGTTCTTCAGAATATGATTGATACACCCTACTAGTGAGTTGAGAATTTGGCTTGTTAATGAAATATAATACTTATATCCTTTACTAATATGTATTAGAGAATGGAGCTATTGGGATATAAAATACAGTTTATGTCCTCAAGATGCTCTTGGTTGAGGAGGGTGCATGTTACATAACTCCAAGATGCCATGATGAATGCTTGACAGCGGTGAAGATCCATGGAAACAGTAAATGTATGAAGCAGTTTTAGAATGCTGGAGTTCATGTGGCCACTCTAGGCAGAGGAGAGGCATCTCAAAATGAAAGAGCAGCACTTATCGAAGCAGAATGGGAAGAGAAGAGAGTGGCTACTCTTAATTTACATTATTATTATATGCTTATGTTCATACAGTATTTTGTAAGGTTAACTTCAGTTGAAAAGTAGTAATTTTGTGAATAAACTATATTTGTTGTTTTTCAGAGTGGCCAAACACCACTTTTACTCACCATAAAGAAAAACAGACAGATGATGGTAGAATTTTTTATTAAGAATAAAGCAAACATACATGCAGTTGATGATAATGGAAGGTATAGTACTTTATATTTTTTGGAAAAAGTTTAATATTGTAGTAAAATCACTCAAGTTAAAATATTAAATTAATGGGAATGGTATAATCATTGGAATAGAGTGAAATTTATGAACATAAACTAAAATTAAGGAGAAAAGCAATTATTCAAACTGAGCAACACAAATAAAAGTATGTAGTATAATTCATATGCCCTTATAATTATTGGCTGATGATTACTATTTGATTTTGTTGATCACATTGTGTTAGCTAGAGTTTTCATGTTAGTTTTGTAAAATATAGACTTTTAGTTTGTGCTTTTATTCAGTATTGAACTTTTTAAATTTTCTGTAATGTTTCTTCTTCTCCTGGTACAATTTTCTTTGGAAATGCTGTGGTGAGTATAAATAGACATTGAAAATTATTTTTTCCTTTATATGACTATTTGCTTTAAATTACTTAATTAGTAGAATATTGATTTCAGATTTTTCCTAAGTGACATCTAATTAGTCTTAAAAAATTTTGAACATTTATAATGAAAAATAGTGTAACATATGCTTGAAATCTGGTTGCAAGATTATACGTGTAGCATTGATTTCAATGCCTGGCAAATGCTTCTCAGAGTGAATGACTGAAGCAACAATTATTATTATTATCACCAGTGCTACTGTTATTATGTTATACCTGCAAATACTTTTTTTACTCCTTGACCTTTGGCTGACTGTGAGTTACAATATATTACATCACCCTAAGAAAGAAATGGAGCTTTATTCATTGAAATCTTTGCCAACTCCAGATGAATGACCTCATCATAATTAATGTTCATTGAAGGATTTTAAGTTTGTAACTCTCCCCTTTTGGGACACGTGATTTATTTTTTATGTGTTTGTTTTCCTTTTAGACTTACAAATGATTTAGAAAGATAATGATTTGATATTCCAAGATGTATGTGTCTGTTAGTGTATGTAAAGATAGATGTCAAATTGGTAAAATGTATTACAATGGCTTTTTAACTAAACTTATTAAAATACCTAAATTTGAAGTTATCTCTCTTATTTTAGAACAGCCCTCATGTTGGCTGTGGAACATAAATCAACACAAATAGCTGAGCTGCTTCTTCAATGTGGTGTTAATGTGTCTGCTTCAGATAATTGTGGAGAGATTGCCTTGTCTTATGCCATTGCTAGTGGAAATACTGCATAAGTATTTACATTACAATACTAATCAACATTAGATGTATATCCATAATGTATATACAACATTAGATGTATATTAGTAGTTACACCTGTTGCATCTTCCATATGAGGTGAGATTTCATAGCATAACTATGTATGGAACCGTAGTGAGTTAGGACATTTCATTAGTCAGAAACCCTTCAAAGTCTAGCCAAGAAGCAGTGATGATACTTTGATTGGGCAAAGAGAAGGATGGGGAGGGGTAATGGAGGCAAGAAAGATGGTGGAGTGAGATAGACATTATTACCTTGGTACAGGTATGACTGTATATATGGTGCAATGGTACATCCTGTGAAATCAGAAATCAAAGTTGTTGCAGTTGTGTCCAATGAATCAAATTACACTCTACTGTCATATATACATAATTTAAATGGATTAGTTATTTAAAAAAAATAAGTAGTGATGTGTGCATGAGTCACCTTCAAGGTTTGTTCTCTCCTCTCTCTTCCCATCTCCTTTCTTTTTCTTCTCATGCATGCTGGGAAATTTTCCTACCACTGAGATATATACCACTAGCTAATATCTTAGGACTTGATAGTATCACACCTATGATTTTATAATTTGCTATTTGGGTCTTGAAATTCCCTGTTTAGCTTAAGTTAGGTATTCTACCATCCCCCTTTAATTTATTAAGGACCTAATAATATCCTTGAAGTGTAAGGAAGATAATTCTGTAGTCAGATGGAGGAAAATAAATAGATTTTTAAATTGTTCCTTTGTCTCTGTCAGTTCTGTTGCTGTGGTGTTTCTGTCAGACCTGGCCCTGCAGTCTGGTAGTGAATAGCTTTTATTTCAAAATATCCTGACTGATCCAATCCCTGAGTCTTCATGGTAACCTATACTGAGACTCAATAGTTACAACACTCTTTTTAATTCTTATGCACTCATGCTTTTTTATTCAACAGTTGTTTCCAAGCAGAAGCACTCTGCTTTGACAGCTTGGCCTCTAGCTTTGGCCAACAAATACTAAGCACTCTGACCCTGTCCCCCTTTTAGGAACCTTATGTGGAATCCCCATATTAGCCTTGCCCTTTGTGGTGCATTATCCTTTTAGGACTTTGTCTTTTCTTTCATAAAATTAAAATCATTCAAATCTATTGGAAAGCTTCAAGTAAAGCTTCAAGTAATCTCTGGAAGAGATCAGAGTTTTCTGTCATCTTGGCTAACAGTTCTGTGCCCCAAATCCTTCCATCCCTTGAAATAGATTTCCTTTGACTGCAGGGGGTTCCACATCACTGTTTTCCATGGTGAGTGCCAACTTTAGATTGACAATTCTAGTAATTTTCCCAAGTAATGGAAAATTTCCAATCTGTTGGAATCGCTGTCTAAAGTTTCCAGCATTTATTAAGGTTTGCCTCAAAAGGAATAGATTAAGCAGATTCATTGAATCTAAGAGAGCTAAGCCCCAAAATGACTCCTCAGTATCCATTGTGTTAAAGAAAATTTTGTGTTCCAAGTTAGTTGGAGATCAACATGGAAATGTAGCTACACTTGTCTGCTGATTCTGTTCAACTAGGTAGAGAAGAAATAGTAGTAGTAGTCCAAGTTTTTGGCATTTGTTAATTTCTCGCCTTTGTTATTATTGATTTGTCCCACAGAAGGGGATGATTATATTCTCTAATTTAAGGAGATATTTATAAATAGAGTTATAAATTAATTGTTGATTTTTCTCTGAGTTATAAAGCACAAAGAAGAGCCCAATTGATCATGAAAATTAGGACTCAAGCATTTTTAAAAATAATTTTAACTTCTGAATATTAGAACCTATGAAAAATACACATTAGTTCTAGTTGAGATTGTAAGTAGTTAAGTATGCCATTATTTTACTATTTTGCTTAACATGTTTCACTATTATCTTAGTAAATCTCCATAACAACCTGGTGAACTAAAGTGATACAACCCTTATTTTTTAGAAGGCCTTAAGCCTAAGAGAAAGAAGTTGTGCAAGAACAAAAAACTATTTTTTACAGAGACAGGACATTTTCTGAGTTCAAGCTACACTAGTTAATATATTTACCTGTCTTGTTCTGAATTCATGATCATTTCATCTTTTTTCTTCTTTAATTACAAGCTATGGGTGCAGTGACACATGCATTTACCCCAGCTACTTAAGAGCCTGAGGCAGGACAATTGCTTGAGCCCAGGTATTTAAGATCAGCCTGATCATCATCATGAAATACCATCTCAAAAAACAGAAAAGAACAAACATTGTATAAATAATTTTCAAGTTAACAAAATGTTTATAGGGCATACAGATTAGGAGAGCATATGAAAAAGTTCTGATACTAGATCTAAAACATTATTAAGTATTGAATTATATTTGGTCAGTGTTTTCACATGAGTACTAAAATACCAATTTTGTTACTTTTTTCAAATATGGAAACAGGAATCTAATTCTTCAATACATGAAAGCACAATCTAGAACATCAGTAAATTTCAATCCAGGTAAGACTTAAAAAAATGAGATTCTCTTGGTGTTCATGACCTGTGTAAATAAGAGTAAGAAAGTTTGATCACAAAAGAAGAGTGGAAAAAATAAATGATCAAATTCCATTCATATTTTTATATCTTTCTTGCTCATACAGAATCCAGAATATCTTAATTATTAACTATAAGAAATTTATCATCTAAATGATATTGTCTGAAGAAATTTTACATTAATTTTGACCCTGAAATTTTATGTCTTTGCAGAAGTAAGAATATTTTTAAATTAGACATTCTGTTTCATATATGGTCACATGATAGCAGATTGGACTTTTTATAAAACCAGGTGTTCTTGTCAACTGTTAATATCAGCTCCTATTGACGTCCTACATTATGAATTTCACAGTGATATTTCTATACACACATATACAATACTTGAATCCTGACCACGTTCCGTACTTCCATTTTCCCCTCTACTCCCTTTTTTCATCCCCAGTTACCTTCCCTCTTCCTTAATGTTCCCTCCATCATTTTCTAGTCATTCTTATTTTCTTCCCAGATTCTACATGTTAGGGAGAGAATGTGATAATTGGGGTTTTGTTTCTGATTTTTTCACCTTAACATGATGACCACCCTTTCTATCCCTTTTACAATTATTGTCTTTGTTTCTTTTTTTTAACATTTTTATTTGGGGTTTGAAATATACCATTTCCTGGGCCTTAAAATTTCTACTCAGAAACCTAATATTTTTCTGATGTGTTTATAATTGCTTTGGCCCTTATTATAGATTTCAGTGTACCTTTGGTAATTTTATAGACTATGATTTGGAGAAGTTCTTTTCAGGCCATTTCCATTTGGTATTCTAAAATCTTATACCTGGATGTCCATAACTTTCACAAGATATAAGAAATAGTTTCTTTTATTCACTGAGAAAGCTTTCATTGTCTGTAGCCTGTACCTCTTCTCCAGTATGTGTACCAGTGATTCATAAAAGTAGTCTATGGATTTTGTCTAGTGGTTTTGTAATTTGTTTAATATTATTTTGATTGTTGTTGATATTGTCTGAATGTGATATTTCATCATCAACTTCAAGCTCTGGTATTTTTTTCTTTCACTTGATCTAGTCTATGGGTCTAACTTCATCTGGATATATTAATTTGAGATATTGAGCTCTTTGTTTCCAAGATTTCTGATTGATTCTTTTTTCAGAATCTGTATTGAATTGTTCTTTCATGCCCTGCATTGTTTTCCTTAATCTACGCAGTTTTTCTTTGCTTCATCTTTGAATTAATTCACTACTTTAACATTTTTTTTGAATTTTATTCTGGCATTTTTGTATATCGCATTATCTTTGGAAATAGTT